GCTGAAATCAAAGCGTGGTATTGTCAGCGAACTCCAAGTATGACTGCCTTGCACACAATTGCATAATTGCATCCTTAAAAAAAAACCCCACAAAAACCAAACCAAAAACCCTAAAACAAACCAGCAGTAGCTATTTTTCAGAATATTGCCATGGCTTACTAGAGCCATCTTTTGCACAAGAAGGCTAATGGTTAAAACTGCCCCAAAGTAGGTTCAGTTCCCCATCTGGGTGGGTACTCTGCGGTAAAGTGGACTACTCCAGCCAGAAATGGCTTAGGAGTTACTTTGACCCTTTCAGTTTAAACTGTGCCCCTAGTCTAGCAGTAAACAGAAAAGTCACAAAATCAAAATGATCACCAGTGAGGAAAGTGATGATGCCATTTTGTTTTAATGATAACTATTTCTAAAAAGCACTAAAGAAAAACTAGAGAACAAAAGCCTCTGCACAAATGTTCTAGTCCTTAGGGCAGTGTTCCTTTTTACTTTCCCATAATTTAGTGATAACGTCCCTCCAAAGCAATGGAGTAAGGATGTCAGAAAGTCTCCAAAATCTACTCAGAATAAATACATTTAAACTGATATACAAGAATCACAGCTTCTCTTCTGGAATTAGTCTACATGAAGTGTCTTCAAAAAATTGGGGCAACTTATCATCAAAGCAGCAGTCTCCCGTGGTGTTTAAGGATTACCATTATTCTGACAATATTACCACCTCTGCCATGGGTGAAAAAGAAGATACCTGGAAGGTCACCTGCCACATACCTGTGTATTTGACCAGTGTTCGACCAGTGGATATCTCCCATAGTTTAGCTACAGAGTCTTTTCCACTTGATAAGATATATTTTGAATTTTTGGAAAAAATAGCAGAACAGACTTCAGCTCCATCATGTGCCTTCTCAAAAGTAGTGATACAGCGATTGGAAACACCATCCCACAGTTTGATGCATCCATCCTTACTTCCTGTCACATACATGTTTGCGCTTGCGTTGTAGTTTACTGAACATATAGCATCAGTGTGCTGATCTTGAGGATTGCAAGACACAAAACACTGGAAAGTATTGATATCATACAGTCGCAAAGTAGGGTGCTGGGTACCAACAAGTATGAAATCTCCAGAAGGATGAAAAGAAATTGAGCGCAACATCTCTGCTTCCTGTTTGATCAAAAATACATAATTGGTGTAAGAAAGAAAAAAAAAAATCTGAAACTGAAGTATCCATTCTGGTGGCATTAAAGCACTAAACAACTAGTTAAATTATCAATTAGCACAATGTGTTCTGTTTTTTGCAAAACAGAAAATGCTTCTTATAGGATTAAAATGACAGGCTACTTTTAAATGTATCATAGCTTTTGTCCTACAGCAGCTTGCAGTACCTGCTCATTTTTGCTACATCACACAAAAGCGACAGGAGGTTTTGTCAGCCAGTCACACACCCCAAAGCCCACCACCACATAATCCCAAACTCTCCTCCAAAACAAAGATAATATAATTGACTTCAAAGTTACCCATATTAGATTTGGTCTGGATTAACAGAAAGCAGACAGGCAATAGATTTAAAGACTGTAGGTATCCATTATGCACAAAGTCTTTACATGTAATTACCATAATGTACAGACATTTTGCAGCTCCATACTCCTACATGCCTAACCACTTATCAACTCAGACAAAATTCAGCTCACTGATACCTTAGTACTTATACATTCAAGCTTCGGTTGCTCCAAACTTTTATTGTATCTAACCTGTATATATTTGAAGGCTCTTTTGGCAGAAGGTTTTGAATAATCAAACAATTTAAGTGTGTAGTCTCTTGAACCAGATGCGAGGATCTGTTCTGTTGGATGAAAAGCTAAACACGTAACTTCATCCACATGATCATACAGAGTCCGAATAACGGGGTGATTTTCCATGTTTTGCTGTGCTGTCTCATTCATCATGACCTACAAAGAACATTCAACAAGTTAGTGTCAGAAAACAGAGCACGCTTTTAACAGGAAATGTAGGTTTTATACTTGCCCAAGTGGGAAACAACAGCTACCTTTCCAACATACAACTAGGTACATAATCACTATTTTCTTAATTATCTGAAGGCCCATTATGTACTGTTACCAGGTAAGATCCCTGTATCTTTACAAAGGTCAACTGATTTGCCCAAGCACAAACCAGTTTCAGCAGCAGAGAACTGAAGCAAGAAAACATATCACCTTCTTCATAAACAATCCAAATCAAAATACTGTATTGCTGTAAAAATTAAAGGAAGCTGTACCAACTGGGAAAATGGCAACTTTTACTCACATAGGATAGTGCTGAGAATTTGGTGTGCATTCTTTGCAAACCCCCCCCACGTTTAAATTGCTACCTGGTAAGTATATTAGAAAAAAATTGAATAAATATGTATTCTGTGAAACAGTTCTGAAACACACAGCCACTGGAGGCTCTAGAGGCCAAAAGCATACATGGGTTCAAAAATGAACGGTGTTTATACAATATAGGAATTATCAGCAACTATTAGAAGCAATTTCTGGCTCAGTTCTCTAGACTGCTGCCAGAAGTTACACAGGTACACTTGCCCTATTTCTTCTTCCTTCTTCAAGGGTGCTTTATGAGCCGCTGTTGGAGTAGGAAATACAGCGAGACAGATCTTTAGTCCAAACCACTGAGCCAGCCACAAAGCACAGACATGGCATGAAAAAGACAACACCTCAAGAATTCACAAAGCGGTTACGATTCAGGTTATATTTTACCTCAATAGGCATAGCACTTTTGGCCAGCATTCTCTCTGTATCAAGAATTTTTATTGAGGCATCAGCAGATCCTGTAGCTATTAACTGTCCGTCTCTGCTATATGTAGCTACACGACACGGTCCTTTATGAGATGTGACATAACAAGTCTCGTATTCAGAAGCCTCAGGAGACATGGTCTGTACATCTGCATCAAATTCCAAGTCAATTCCTGTGCCTGGAGCTACCGTATCTGACCGTCCAATTGCATATTGAACAGCACTGTCATCGTTCTCCATTCCTGAAAAGAGAGTTGATGCACTTAAGCCAGGTTAACCTCCTCCTTAGACAGACAGGCTGTGGCCAGAGGTACGCCACAGACTTCTCTAACAGATTTTAAAAGTTTTTTGCTGAACAAAGCTAAGCTAGCAGTGCAGATTTAGTTATACAGCAGTACTTCTTGTGAGAAATGAGAGGTACTTTGGCTGTACCAGCACAGAACACAGCTCTTAAAATTAACCATGGAAACAGAACCAGCAAATACTGTGGAATGGTAAGAAACGATAAATGTGCTATCAGTTACTGAAGCCATTGACAGGTCTTGAGTCAGCTTTTCAGAGGGAGAAACAAGCCCCAACACTTTTAGATGAGATTTAACATAAAAACCTGAGGCATTTACTATTTCTCTTCCTTTCTGTTTTATTGCATTAAAGGAAAAACCTGCTCCACAAAAAACTATCCCAACATTGCAAATGAAAATTTTTGCTCCTCCTCGCACCCACTTTAGATTTTTTTATTTTTAAGGGTTTTTTTATTTCCAGGCTGTATCTACAGAACAAAGATAGTTCATCACCAGAAGCGGTAACAGGGCAGACACATGGATTTTCAGCTGTGCGCCCCCAGTGATCATCAACTGATCAAATGCAATAGCAACGTTCCTGTTGCTTTCATCTACAAATTGTGAGTCTAGCATTCTTATTTCAAACAGACACAAGCCTTCACATATTTATACCCTTGGAACTCAACTAGTTCAGGCAGCAGAACCAGTTCAGTTACAATACAGAGAAGACATGACGTTACAGTTAGACTTTTTCCAGTAACTTAGTCAGCTTGTTTCAACAGCAGCTCAGGTATTTTGACTACATACTGCGGCACAGATGTACTTTCAGAGAGAAAGATACACAGAGAGAGAACAAGCAATACCTTTGCTGAGACCCTAAACTGTGAAGCTTATTTTCTTGAGACTGATATGTAAAGGCTAGTGAAGATTGCCAATGAAAGGGCTTGTTCCCTTTCCAACACTGTCAGGGAGAATCATATAGAAGATATTTCTAAAGTTAGCAGAGAACTCTGTGGGCCAATTTTCTATTAGGTCTGTGGACTCAGTGATCCTGTTTACTGAAGTGTATTTTTAGAAGGTTGCCAGTGACCTAGGACCTTAGGCAGGTATTCTTATGTGTTACAGAAGTGCAAGCAAATGGATTTTGACAACACTCAGTGATCTGTTTTGCTTTTAATGCATACTAAAGGATGAAGCATAGAGATAGAATGCCCTTCAAAAAAAGCCCCAGAGGCAAAGGCTGTATCTAAATATACAAAGCGTTATACTATTACTGGACAGAATCTGCATAGATGTCTGGTCATTAACACTAACTTCTTAATTCATAAGGATTTAAGAAACTAGACTTTTATGTTAGCTTTTTATTCCACCTTACCTAACTTAATTAGGTGCAGCAGTTGTTCAGATGGTGCACAGACTGACTGTGGTTTTATCTCATTTATCAAGCCATTAGCAATATTTATGTATCCATCATATAGCAGCTGACTAATTATCAGTTTATAAAGTTGCTGACGGTCTTTCAAACTGACTTTTGTTCTATACATTGTGAGCAAGGAATGCCTCGGAGGGGCCTGAAATAAAGAAAGAAGAAAAATCACATACAAGAGAATTGCATGAAACAACCACAACGTTTAAATAAAGCACACCCTGCTGAATTTCAGTGCAGACACCAACTGCTACCATATTTTAGGTAAGAATCGA